TAAATTCCATGAAGCCTTCTATAGGGAAGACTTACCTGTTCCTTCCAACGGCCAAAGACGTGTGGGATGCCGTGAAGGAAACATACTCCGACGCCGAGGACGCATCACAGATCTTCGAACTTAACACCCGTTTGTGGCAAACTAAGCAAGGGTCGAGGGATGTTACTGAATACTACATGGAGATGGTATCCCTATGGCAGGAACTCGACCTTAGCTTGGAGGAAGAATGGGAGTGTTCAAATGACAGTGCAAGGTACAAGAAAAAGGTCGAGAACGAAAGAGTGTTTGAGTTCCTAGCAGGGCTGAATCGAGAACTCGACAACGTCAGAGGAAGGGTTCTAGGCCGGCGACCACTACCTTCCACTCGCGAGGTGTTCACAGAAGTCCGGCGAGAAGAATCGCATCGGCAAGTCATGATGAAGGAAAATTCTTAAATTTCTGGACACAGTAATGAAAGATCGGCCTTAAAATCACATTTTAGGCTACCATATTTGAAAGATAATGGGCCGGCTAATCTGGGCCTGGCAACAGGAGGATTAAATAGAACTGGGCCAGCATTCTATGGGCTTGGAAATGAAATAAAAGGTGGGCCAGAAAGTGAAACAAATTTTGGACCAGAAATTAAAAATGGACAAGGAGCATTGGGCTTGTCATCTAAGGGGATAGCCGGGCGACCCAACCAAAAACAGCAGCGAGGATGGCCATGGTGTGAACATTGTCGCAAACCGGGGCACAAAAAAGACACTTGTTGGGATATTCACGGGAAACCAGTGGACTGGAAACCAAACCAAAACACAAGGGGCCGAGGATACCAAGCCGAGACAAACATTAATCCCACTCCAAGCGGGATATTTAATTCAGAACAATTGGAACAACTCTACCAAATTTTTTTGAGTCTCCAGACATCCAGTCAGTCTTCCTCAAAAGGTTCATCTAGTTCTTTAGCTCACAAAGGTAACTTTTTGAAAGCCTTAAATACTTCAAGACACAAAAATCCTTGGATTATCGATTCGGGTACGTCCGATCATATGACGAACTCATATCACTTATTTTCTTCATACTCCACCTGTGCTGGAAACATTAGAGTAAAAATTGCAGACAGCTCACTCTCATCGGTTGCAGGAAAAGGGAGTATTAAAATCTCTGAATCTTTAACACTAGAATCAGCCCTTCATGTCCCAAATTTGTCCTGTAACTTATTATCTGTTAGTCAACTTACAAAAAATTCCAATTGCTCAGCTAAACTTTTCCCATCATATTGTGTCTTTCAGGACCTTTCATCGGGGAAGACAATTGGCAATGCTAAAGAGTGTGAAGGACTTTACTACTTCGAAGAAGCTGATATGAGTAAGCTAGGTCAATTTTCAAGTTGTAATTCAACGTCTGTTTCTAGGGACAGTGAAATTCTGTTATGGTACTATAGAATGGGTCATCCTAGTCTACAATACTTGAAGCATGTACTTCCTTCTCTTTTCTTGAATAAAACATCATTTGAGCTTCAATGTGAAAGTTGTGAATTTGCAAAGCATCAACGAACAAATTTTCCAAATTCCACATACAAACCATCTAAGCCGTTTACCATAATTCACAGTGACTTATAGTGACCTTCTCGTGATCCCAATCGTACACACACAAAGTGGTTTGTCACATTCATCGATGATCACACTCGATTATGTTGGGTCTATCTACTAAAAGAAAAATCTAATGTTCGCATAGTATTCATAAATTTCCACTCTATGATTCAAACACAACTTCAAATTTTACGTACTGACAATGGGTACAGAATATTTCAATACCACTTTGCAAGAATACCTGAAAAAACACGAAATAGTCTATAAAAGCTCATGTGTCAACACTCCCCAACAAAATGGGATTGCTGAACGAAAAAACACACACCTACTTGAAGTTGCTCATACTTTAATGTTCACTACAAACATGCCAAAAATATTCTGGGGAGATGCCATTCTAACATCCGCATATCTCATCAATCGAATGCCTAGTCGTACTCTCTCTTTCAACTCACCTATACAAAAATTTCAAAAGTACTATCCTACTTCTCGCCTCAGTTCACACCTAACCCTAAGAATGTTTGGGAGTACTGCCTTCGTACATATTCACTCCCATCATCGAAACAAACTTGAACCACGTACAATCAAATGTGTATTCATTGGCTACTCACCCACTCAAAAGGGCTACAAATGCTATGACCCATCCACAAAAAGGGTGTTTGTCAGTCTAGATATCACCTTCTTCGAAAGAACATCCTACTTCCAAAATCCTTCTCTTCAGGGCGAGAATCAAAATGAAGATCGGTTCTTGGATCGGGAATTTCTAAACTTTGACATTTTCCCTACTGAACCAACACATACCTCATCTTCTAATGTGCCACATACCTCATCTTCTAAGGTGCCATATACAGAAGGCAACTTGAACTTAGGGGGAGATGTTGGAAAACAAAATGACAAGGAGATACTAGTTTACTCAAGGAAGCCTAAATTGAAGTACAAGGAGAATCTCACACCTGAGGCACCAAGAGAGTCGGAACCGATGATAGGACCTAATGAGAACCCCTCCAATGAATCTCCAGACGATTCACCTATTGCTCTCAGGAAACAAACTCGATCATGTACTCTCCATCCTATTTCAAAATTCATGTCTTATAAAACTCTATCTACAGGATTTCGTGTCTTTACAGCTAACCTGGATGAAACAGAAATCCCAAAAATATTCATGAGGCCCTGGAATCACCCAAATGGAGAGAAGCAGTGATGGAGGAAATGAGAGCTTTAAAGAAGAATGGAACATGGGCAATGGCAAGCTTACCGAAAGGAAAGAAAACTGTGGGATGCAAATGGGTGTTTAATGTGAAATACAAAGCTGATGGGACTATAGAGCGCTACAAAGCTCGTCTGGTCGCCAAAGGATAAACTCAAACTTATGGCATCGACTACACAGAAATATTTGCACCAGTAGCAAAACTAAATACAGTCAGAGCTCTGTTGTCATTGGCTGTTAATTTAGATTGGCCACTTCAACAACTGGACATCAAGAATGCATTCCTGAATGGAGAGCTAGAAGAAGAAGTGTTCATGACAATACCACCAGGGTTCAACAGAGGAAATGAAGAAAAACAAGTGTGTAGACTCAAGAAATCCCTATATGGTCTCAAATAATCTCCAAGAGCTTGGTTCGATAGATTTGCGAAAGTATTAAAAAATCAAGGATATCAGCATGGGCAATCCGATCATACCATGTTCTTCAAACAGTCTAAAGATGGGGCAAAAACAATTCTAATTGTATATGTTGATGATATCATCTTAATGGGGACAACAGAGCTGAAATGGAGAAACTAAAGAAGTGCTTAGCCACCGAATTTGAAGTAAAGGACCTAGGACAGGTGCGATACTTTTTAGGAATGGAGATTGCACGATCAAATAAGGGTATTAGTGTTTCTCAAAGAAAATATATTCTCGATCTATTCACTAAAACTGGGATGCTAGGATGCAAACCAAGTGACACACCTATTGAGGCTGGAAAAATAACAAAGGACCTTGGTAACTCAGTGGAAATAGACAGATACCAAAGACTTGTTGGGAAGTTGATCTACCTATCACACACTAGACCTGACATCGCTTTCGCAGTCAGCATGGTAAGTCAACATATGCACTCTCCTAAAGAAGCCCACTTGGAGGCTGTGTACAAAATATTGAGATATCTGAAAGGTAATCTCGGGAAAGGACTATTCTTTGAAAAAAATAACAGAAAGGGAGTAAAGATATTCACAGACGCATATTGGGCTGGATCAACGGAAGACAGAAGATCTACTACTGGCTACTGTACTTTTGTCTGGGGAAATTTCGTAACTTGGATGAGTAAGAAACACAATGTAGTGGCGAGAAGCAGTGCTGAAGCTGAATTTAGAGCTGTCGCACAAGGAATATGTGAAGGACTATGGATAAAGAAACTTTTAGAAGAACTAAACGTCAAGGTGGAGCTTCCAATCAAACTCTATTGTGATAACAAAGCAGTCATCAACATTTCTCTCAATCCAGTACAACATGACAGAACTAAACATGTAGAAGTGGACAGACATTTTATCAAAGAGAAAGTGGAAGATGGAATTATCTG